GCATGCGCACACGCACGCACAAGCACACGCGCACGCACACGCACACGCGCACGCACGCACGCACACACGCACGCGCACGCGCACGCGAATGCGCACACGCACGCGCGCACGCGCACGCGCACACGCGAACACGCTCACGCGCGCACACGCGCACACGCGCACACGCGCACAGGCGCACACGGGTACACGCGCACACGCACGCACGGCACGGCACGGCGCGGCACGGCGCGGCGCGGCGCAACACAACACAACACAACACAACACATCACAACGCAACACAACACAACACAACACAACACACAACACAACGCAACACAACGCAACGCAACGCAACACAACACAACACAACACAGCACAGGACAGCGCAGCGCAACACAATAGAACACAACACAACACAACGCAATGCAACGCAACGCAACGCAACCAACGAAACGCAACGCAACGCAACGCAACGCGACGCGACGCGACGCGACGCGACCCAACACAACACAACACAACACAAAACACATCACATCACAACACAACGCAACACAACACAACACAACACATACAACACAGACAACACACACACAACACACACACAACACACAACACACAACACACAACACACACACACCACAGAACACAGAACACACAACACACAACACACAACACACACCACACAACACACCACACACCACACACCACACACCACACACCACACACCACACACCACACACCACACGCAACACGCAACACACAACACACAACACACAACACACAACACACAACGCAACACACAACACACAACACACAACACAAAACACAACAGAAAACACTGCACAAGAAGCACAAAACACAACACAAAACACAACACAAAAACAGCAAACAAAACACAACACAAAACACAACACAAAACACAACACAAAGCACAACACACAACGAACGCAACACAAAACACAACACAAACCTCAACACAAAACACAACACAAAACACAACACAAAACACAACACACAACACAACACAACACACAACGCACAACACAACACCAAACACAACACAAAACACAACCCACAACATGCAACACACAACACACAACACAAAACACAACACAAAACACAACACAACACACAACCCAAAACACAACGCAAAACACAACTACAAAACACAACACAAAACACAACACAAACCACAGCACAAAACACAACACAAAACACAACACAAAACACAACACAAAACACAACACACAAAACACCACAAAACACAACACAAAGCACAACACAAAACACAACACAAACCACAACACAAAACACAACACAAAACACAACACAAAACACAACACAAAACACAACACAAAACACAACACAAAACACACCACAAAACACAACACAAACCACAACACAAAACACAACACAAAACACAACACAAAACACAACACAAAACACAACACAAAGCACAACACAAAACACAACACAACACACAACACACAACACACAACACAACACAGAACACAACACAAAACACAACACAAAAACAGCAATCAAAACACAAAACGCAACACAAAACGCAACACAACACACAACGCACAACACAACACCAAACACAACACAAAGCACAACCCACAACATGCAACACACAACACACAACACAAGACACAACACAAAACACAACACAACACACAACACAAACACAACGCAAAACACAACTACAAAACACAACACAATGCACAACACAAACCACAACACAAAACACAACACAAAACACAACACAAACCACAACACACAACACAACACAAAACACAACACACAACACAACACAGAACACAACACAAAACACAACACAAAACACAACACATAACGCAGCACACCACAACACAACGCAACGCAACACAACACAACACACAACCAACAACACGCAACACGCAACACGCAACACACAACAAACAACACACAGCACACAACACACAACACACAACGCACAACACACAACACACACCACACAACACACAACACACAACACGCAACCCACAACCCACAACCCACAACACACAACACAACACAACACACAACACACAACACACAACACACAACACGAAACACACAACACACAACACACAACACACAACACTCAACACACAGCACACAACACACAACACACAACACACAACACACAACACACAACGCGCAACACACAACACACAACACACAACACGCAACACGCAAGACGCAAAACGCAACACGCAACACGCAACACAACACACAACACACAACACACAACACACAACACACAACACACAACACACAACACAGCACACAACACACAACACAACACACACACACACCACACACACCTTACACACACACACACAATACCCCCCAGGCGTCTATGTCTGTCGCCAGCTGGAAAAAGCACGTATCCGAACAATACCCCGAAGGATTAAACCGTGACAAGGTCCGTGTCACCAAGCGCAAGTAGGGACAGCAAGGCGAGTGGGGAGACAGGTGGGGAGACAACCGGAGAGACAAGTGAGAAAGGTGGGGAGAAAAGCGGGGAAACAAGTGGGAGGACAAGTGGCAGGAGGCCCTGACAAGGCCCAACTGAGCAAACGCAAGGGTGACAAGTGAGGCGACAGGTGGGGTACAAGCAAGAGAATCGATGGTCTGCAGAGCGCCGCGAAGGTGACGTGAGCCTATTGAGGACGGTGAACCTTGACCCCGCAAAAGCCCGCAGAGCAAAAGCCACGAGTTTTTGAGGGTCAACCCGCACAAAGCCCACAGAGGGTTGAGGGTTGCAAAGAAGTGTGCGCGGCCGTGCCAATAGGGCCGTTGCCGAGCCTGCTCCAAACCCGGTCCGGGCTCGGAGACAGCCTTCCTCAGGTGTCCAGGCCGAGTTGGTTCACGCAAGGGCGGTTATGAAAGGCGGGTCGTCCTTGACATAGCGCAAACCTGCAAACCAAAGCAGCTGGACGGCCCAAGAGCTTGCTGACTTGGACCCTTGTCATGGCTTGTCTCCCACTTGTCCCACCCGCTTGTCTCGCTGCTAGCTTACTGACTTGAACTGTTTGACCCTCCTTATCTCGCGACTTGTCTCCGCACTTATCTCTTTGCTTGCACTTGCTGACTCCGGCCTTGTCGCAGCGTTTCTCTCTCCACGCGCTTGCTGAGCCACTAGCCTCCCAAAAAGGTAAAGTTCTACTGTCACTACCTCTCTGCGTCAGTCAGGATTCAGTAGCTGATTGTCGTCGGCCCCCAAAACCTTCGTGCTTGATCAATGAACGAATGCTTGGCGAGTGCTATTGCAGTAGTCGCAGTCGTCGCAGTAGTGGGAGTAGGCCGTTTTTACCAAGTTCAAGGATTTCACCTTTGGCAGTTAAATACGCTCTAGAAACCAACCAAATAGAACTGGGGTCCTATCCTGTTATACTAATGCATTCAAGGCACGCGCGTGCTCGAAACATTCACTTTTCCTCAAGGTAGAAGTTCTAGACACGGCGAAGTGCAAACACGTTCTTCAGGAAGATGTCAAGGCTGAGCCAGGCGCACGCCCAGAAAGCTGACCGGTCGCCCCCGAAAAGCGACTGGTCCGCCTTCTCGTTTGACTTGTGTCTGCGCTTTGATGTGAAGTGGTACTTGGGGCTTACTTGGGGCTTCTACCTTGAGAAAAGTAGAGTGTTTCAAACACGCGCGCCTTGAATTCACGAACGTTAGAACTCAGTAACGTGGAATACAGGAATAGGGCCCGTTTCAATTTGGCTGGTTTCTTGAGCCAAAGCAATGATCGATAGGGATAGTTGGGGCATTCGTGTTTAGCTGTCAGAGGTGAAGTTCTTGCACGTGGTACAGACGGACTACCGCGAAAGCCTTCGGCAAGGATGTTTTCATTGATCGAGAACGGGGATTGCAGACGATCAGATATCGTCCCAGTCTCAACAGCAAACTGCGCCAACTAGAGACTGGAGGTCGTCAACTCCACAACCCCCTTTTGTCTTCACTTTCTCCCCGCTTGTTTTTTTGCTTGTCTCCCGGCATGTCTCTTTGCCGCTGCCCCTGCTTGTGCTTAGCGACTCGGACGCTTGCCTGGCGCGAAAGGAAGACGCAGTGCAAGTGACGCGATGTTCCAAAGTGCAAGAGGTGCCCCAGAGTAATCATTGGTATCAAAAAATATCATGTTCGTCAATTTTTAGCTTTGAGCCAGTCTTCATTTGGCAGTCTGAACATGATTTTGCCTTTTTTTGTGGCGGCTTGTGTGGCCAAGCTTCCTCCAGTATTAGTCTCTTTGAGCCTCGGCGGTCCAATTCCGGCGGTTTTTTGCGATTCGGGCGAATCTGTGTGGAAAAGAGGGAAGAGAGAGAAGAGAGAAGCGAGAGAGAAAGAGAGAGAGAGAGAGAGATTGAAACAAGGGGGGAAGACACAAACTCAAAACTATAGTTCTTCCATCTCTTGAAACTTCCACCTCCCAAACTTCCGCCAAACTCGTAGTAGTCCTTGGCAAGGGCCTACCTGCCGCGACAAGCCCACTGTTCCGCCCGTGCCGACAGCCAGCTACTAGCACGAAGAGAGTCTCGTGCATTTGTTTGATAAAGTTGGTCCAGCCCCCCATCCCCCCTGCTATCCTGCCATCTCCCCCGTCCCTGTTTGCGGGAGTTAGTTTGGTGTCCGCTTGGGGTTGTTTAGGGTTGGTTTCGGGTTGGTTTGGCTTGTTGGGCTCATGCAAATCCTAGATTTGCGACTTCAGCCTGTGGGATCGCAAATATGGATACGAGGTTGCTTTTGAAATATGCTTTGCAAGTTTGGAACTTTAGATTTGACTTCCTGCTTCTGGCAAAACCATCAAACTGGGTTTCATCCGACAACTTGCCGAGTGTGCTTGAAAGCTTGCGCGTTTGACTTTCAGGCTTCAGGTGCAGCCTCAATATTTGCACACGATCATGGCCTAACCAACAATTTCTGCAATTGCTCGTATGTTTTGGAATGCAGCTCAACTGCCGTAAGTGGAAATACTGTGATTTCGGCTGGGGCTCATGGCGCGATCCCTCTTGTTGCTCTCACCGGTGGTGGCCGTTCTCGCTCTGAGTGGCCTGGGCATAGATCGAGAATTGGCGTGGTATCGAGCGTCAACAGCCATCAAAGCCATCAAAACTATCTACTCCTTTCCTGAGCAGGATGTCACGGATTTCCTAGACTCCTACAAGCTCTTCGATCAGGAGCAGGTGACTGGAGGCAAGAACGAGGCGCAAAGCACCGTGAACTACTACAAGGTCCTGAACCACCTGTGCGCAGTTGGTGATGTGGAGAAGATGTACATTCCACCAGTGATGGATCCAAGTTTGGGAGTTTTTGAGAATCAGATGCTATGGGAAGAGAAAGGGATGGCTGAGCGACTGAACATCGGTCCAGGCTCCAAAGTCCTTGATGTTGGCTGCGGGCGGGGCAGGGTGGCCCACCACATGGCCAGCTTCTCAGGGGCTCACGTGACAGGGCTGAACCTCGACCGTACCCAGCTGCAGACGGCCATGGAGCACGCCAACTTGACCAAAATGGACAAGCACCTTAGCTTCGTGTACGGCAACTACAACGACCCGCTGCCCTTCGCGGATGCGACCTTCGACGCCCTGTACCAGGTGCAAGTCCTCACCTACGCCATCGACCCCGAGAAGCTCTTCAAGGAGATGTTCCGGGTGCTGAAGCCAGGCGCCAAATTGTCCTTCTTGGACTATGTGCAGCTGCCAGCCTTCAACCCGTCTGACCCCAAGCATGACGATCTGCTGCGGAAGGTGAAGCCGGTGCTGGGCGCTGTTTGGACGCCGAAGCCCTCAGACTTCACCGATCCGTTGGAGAGGGCAGGCTTCAAGATCCTGATGAACGAGGACGCGAGCCTGGGGGGCCACCAGTACCCCTTGATCGAGAAGGCGGATACATTCTTCGTGGCGGCGCGCTACTTGTTGCAAGCCTTGACCAAGGTGCGCATTTTGCCCCCCCACTTCCTGACCCTCTTTGAGCGGCTCACCAAGGATGCCGAGGCCTTTGTTGAGGCGGACAAGATGGGGCTCTTCACCACCAGTTGGCAGATCATTGCGCAGAAGCCGGCATAGCAAACCGCACACAAAAGCACAGATCTCGCGTTGTTGCGAGTGAACTGAATCCTGTTTTTGCATACAGAACTCGCCTGAGAACTTGTTCCCGTGGCGGCTGAACTCTGGCCTGACTCAAAGCCGCAGGCTGCAAAAGCAAAGCTTGTGCAGATACGAATGAATGATCTAATTAATTAACCGAGACACCGAAGACGTGGGGCAAAAACAAGAGCGCGCTGCTGTCAATGCCCAGCTTTAAGCTCCAACACCTGAGCGATAAACAAAGCCAAAGTTTTGGATGGAGCTTGAACACATGCACAGGAACAAACAAAAAAACAAAGCAAACAAAGCAAACAAAGCAAACACAGAGACTCCTTCAACCAGGACCTTGCTCTGCCGCACTGCCTTGTGAGCAACTGCTACCATTGGGCCCCTTCAGTTGCCCTGACAACGTGCACGGGCTGAAGCCACGGGTCGAATTCCAATGGGAACGGCACCGACACCTTTCGGTCCCTGGCGGATGTGAATAGCCCAGGGGGCCGCCCGCGAGTTCATCGGGCAGGGCGGCGGCCAGCGCCCTCAGTGTGATCGCTCCGTTCGGAACACGAGTCTTTTTTTGTTCTTTTAATTGCCCTGGCGGTTGAGGAGCTTTCTCTTCCCATTTGCAAGTCTAACGCTTGATTCGAAGGGTCGAAAGCGGCTCATGGAATCACAATCCTATGCGCAGGAGTTAGAGAGATGGCCGCACGGATCTTTGAATCATGGAGGCAAGAGTGAACACAAACATGAAAAGGCCATGGGACCCCTATGGCGGTTTGATCATTGAAGACTGAAGACAAAGCAAGGTCAGATCCTGCTCCTATATCATATAACTCATTCATGGCCTCTGATTTTGGCGTGCAAGTTGCATGTATGATTTTGGAGGGGACCCCGCTCGAAAGATGCTCTGGACTTAAATCTCCCTGTAAGTGATGCCCACCGAAGATTCCCCGCTGGCTGGGACGTTGCACCTCCAGGCTTCTGGCGGAACGAGGACTCCTGAGAATAACTATTGGCAGGTGCTTTCAATCGGCAGACCAGACGGCCAATGCACGAAAGGGGCGGGTCCTTGCCAGGCTGCAAGTAGCGCCAGGCGATAGCCCCAAGTTGGCGCTTCGCAAGAAACAAAAAGGTGCGGATGGATGGATTCCCATTTACCCAAGGTGTGGTAGCTTTGCTTCGCAGCGCCGAACATTGCGGAGTCGGATTTTGGCACCCAGCTGCCAAAGACTCGCCTTTTCCCTGGATGAACATGTCCGCCCGCGTTGGAGTCAAAAGGCGGATGGGAGGCATCAGCGGGTGTCTTGAGAACTGATAACTAGTTCCTTTCAAGTTTGATAAGCAGCCACATTTTAGCGACCCATTGAGTCTTATTTCGTTCAGGCACGTACACATCACCGCCTTGCGTTGCTTCACAGGTATGTCGCTCTCACTTTTCCATCAAGCCTGTCGAGAAGATGTGGCACTGACCCCAGTGGGCGGTGTCTCTGTTGCTTTAGCCACATATGGGCGTGAATTTTGGTGGGCGTTTCAACAATAAACCCAATGTCCGAAATTCATTTGGGGTCCCTTGACTTTGATTCCACAATATTTCACCATTCACGACATGCGAGCCGATGCCCCCTGGCGAACAGCCGAAAGCTTCTTGCGTTCCGGTGGCCGCTGCCGGATTTTTGCTCCTCAGTGCCCCAGGAGAAATGCGAGAAGCAGGAGCACGAGCGAAGATACAGCGGCCGCGCTTTTTGACAACGCCGGGGTCCCTGGGTTGTGCCGAGTGGCTGTGTTTCGGCTTGTGGGGAAGAAGAGGAGTGGGATTCTTTTCCGTCTTTCCACCAGGGTCACCATGGCTTTTGGTGGCAAGCCTCGAACACTGATTTTCTTTGGGGGACGTTGTCAGGGAACCCCTTCAGCGTGATTGCTGTTGAGTTGCCAAAGCAGTTGTTCGTGTCTATTGTTGAGAACAGTCGCTCCTTTGTCGATCAGGTTCCTTCAACTAGGCGTTCTTCACTGGATTATGCTTGTCTTGCACAATCCAGGGTGGATTGCAGGGTATGTGGATTGCAGGAGCCTGTGGCGTCCCTGGTTGGGACTCTTTTGCCAGAGGAAGGAGGAAGCTTCGATCCACAAAACCTTTGGGTTTTCCAACCTTCCCCCCTCCCCTTCGCGCGCCTAACAGTCAAGGCGCCGACAGGAAAAGGAAAAGACCGCTGGTGGTTACGCAGACGCGCCTTTCCGCAGGTCCGCACCAACCCTCGCTACGACCGGGATGCCATCAGCCGGTTACCGAGGCGTATTGGGTTTTTTGGGTAGGGCTTGCCCACCAATTCCAGGGGTAAAAACCGAGCTCACCATGATAGAAGCTGCTTACTTGGGAATCTCGTAATCCAGGTTTTGGAAGTATTGGACTTTTGCAGATCTCTTGTTGTTCTGTATTGATTCAGTTTTCAACATGCCCCAAACATGGGGAGCACGGACTTGGGTGTGTCAAACGCCAGGACTTTCGGGGATGGGGTTGAAAAGAAACCGAGAGAAAGTCAAACATGTGAAGGGCCCCGTGCCTGCCACATGTCCACATGGCTCTGGTTTTTCGAGTACCTTCAAGCAAGGCGGACAAAAGTCCACGATGTAAATGATGTCCACCAAATTGGGCCTGAGTTGATTTCCATGCCCCCCCCCCCCGGTGCGTCACATGTTGAGAGCCAAGGGCGGTTTACCTTTTTCCCTTCGACGCGGCGGTCCCGCGCAGGTCGCTGCGCGGGCGGCTGCGGCCGCTGCTGGATGCGGGGTGCCTGGTAATGCCCGGCGCCCCAGAAGGAAAAGCTTAGCGAAACCTGGGTAGCGATCCCCACCCGGTTGTTTTTCTACATGGTTTTGGGCCCATTCTTATAACAGGCTTTGATTGTGACTCAAGTGTTGGCTTGTTTTGCTCGGCAATCATTTCCGGCAGGGCATGAGCTAATTTCCAAAACATCTCCCCCCATCTTGTGAGAGGGGGAACTCGGAATTCAGTTCTGTTTGGCGATTGATACGGCTTGCCGGTAGGGACATGAATGTGGGAATGATCGTGGCGACAAATCTCGTCCCCGCTGCTTTCCCCGGTTTTACTTTCTGCAAGTCTCATCATGGAAACTGCAAACAGTATGCTTGGTTTTCGAGGGTCTTCTGCTGGTGTGTGGGATGGGTCCTTGGAGCTTTCGCCATGAATGGCCTCGGGCTTGACCTCCGCGCAAGTTTTCGCGCGGATGCCACGGACTGAACTCTGACTGCAGATGTCGCAAGTTGTTCGAAGTCGCAGACGACCTCCAGGTGTCTCCTTCTTGAACTGGAGCTCGTTTGGAGTGACCTCTGCAAATGCTGAGCAAAGAAGACAAGTGTCCTGATTTGAGGCCGTATCATGAGCTTTGCTGATCCAATGAGATTTCGGAGGGCGCGTTCCAAGTTTGTTTCGCATGCTCATGTCAGTTTACATGCGCTTCTTTCAGTTCCGTTCTATTCTGTTGGTGGCTTTTGTCAGGCAGACCCCCCAGCGCGCCCGTGACGAGTCCGTGGCAGCGGGCCTAGGGACATGGATGGGGGCGACACCCAAAATGGGCGGGCTTTCTTTCTTCATTTCCCTTGACAGCCACAAAAAGTTGGGTACCCTCTAAAAGATACCCAAATGACCAGAAAAACAACCAGAGGACTGTGCACTTTACCCATGTCGTGGGGAACATTCGTAATTCATGTTGCCGGGGGAGATCAATGGCCATCATGGGCACAACAATGTGGGGCCTTGGTTGGCTCAATGAGCCATGGTGTCGCCAGAGTTTGTGCTTTGTTGGGCTAGGCGTTCGAGCAGCCGAATAAAGGCCGCAAATCCGGCAAAAGCGCAGAAACTAAGTTGGGAGCAGAACCATTCGAGCGTCCCTGCATCAGCAAAGCAGATCTATTGCCAGTCGTTTTATTGTGCTGGAAGGGCCACTGATGCTTTTTGCCCCACCTCATTGATGTCCAGTCCGGTCTGCAACCATGGGCACGTTTGGTACGTACGAAAAAGACACTGCACCCCTTCCGAAGCTTAGCCATTTAGTCAAGTGGTGTCAGCAGCTTGTGAGGTTGCTATTCTGCGGAAGAGTGGAATGTATGAGACTTTTCTGCTGCTAGCTTTGTCGCTGCATTTTTCAAAGAACACAGCAGAGCCTCTTTTGAAGCCTGGCTGGGCTTGTCGGCAAATCGACGCGGGTTTTCGGGCAAACCGTGTCAATGGGAGCCACAAGTCTCTCTCTCTCTCTCTCTCTCTCTCTCTCTCTCTCTCTCACCAGGCCCGGAGGAGGAACCACGGCGACAACGTCATGGTTTTTTTCGAGGCCCTGATCGAGTGGTATCCTTGACTGGGTTCGTCGGGTTGTTCCGCTGTTCCCCCTTTGAGACTGGCCCATTTGGAGACACAGGAATTGTTTTTATATAGAGAAAAAGGTGTCAAGATCAGCACCTCCCTCTGGAGGCTTCATCTCAGTTCCTCAAAGTCCAACAGGAGCTGAACCCTGCACATTTCAAAGGGTAAAGGTTGGAGTCCTGGACGTTTCTCGGTGGAACCATAAAGGGCTCACAGATTTGAGGGACCAGCTGGGTTTGGGTTGATTGTCCTTGTCCTGCCTGCGTGAACCCTTTCTTAATGGACGTGAAGAGGGGGTTCTCCAAAAGTGGATTTGCAAAGGCAGGTACTTTGGAGCTGAGATCGAAGGCCAAAGCTTGGAGAAGCCCTGGCTCTTGGCTTTGTGGCGGGATCCGTTTGGGTCAGGATACAGCCATGATATAGTTTTGCTCAATATATTTTGTTTGGGGCCAACTGAGGTTGCCCTTGCTACAATCATAGAAGCTGACAGCTTTCAATATGGTATGTGTTCATTGATTGTAACTCTTTCAGCTCTCCTCTCGCAAACCCCAGGGTTGAACTGTGTTCCACGCCATATTTTTGGCCAAGCTCAATATTTTAGTGCCCA